AATCAACCTGAGCCTCAGAGTAATGGGGCTCGGTCGTCCTTTTAGTTGGAATCGAACTACGAATCTCTTCGTCAAGCACTTTCACACAGAATTGAAGTCATCATAACATGCATGGAGTATAGATAATTTAATTAGTAAAGCTATACTTCTTAAGTCAACCCGTCCTGCAACTCCGCTCTGCCCATGTCTAACACTTAAATGCGAGTTTTGGATTGTAGCCGTCTAGGCCTTCGGGAATCTGTCGCTGCTCGCCTTATGACATGTTCTAAATCATCGAATTCAATTATAAAAATAGCCTAAGTGTGTTAGTAGCTTGAGTGGAAAGCGCAGAGGTCTGGTCTAGAATCGAATTAGACTTTTCGTCTTTTTCTTCCCAGCACTTTGCAAACACCGAGATGAAGAGCCGGAATTAGCTAGTCTCAGTATCCTCCAGTCCCACATAGGGGTAGGAAGCGATTATTTAATCTGGCATAACTGGATATTTCTATAAACACTATATATATATATATCTATATATGCCTGTATGTTTGTATCTATTCATGTGCGTACGTACGTATATATATGTGTATGTATGTATGTATTAAACCCATAAAATAAAGGGGGCACTTATGCTAATTTAACCAAATTAGTTGGCACCTCTTAGCTTCACAGTAGCTTTGCGTGATGATGGTTAGATTTAGTCCCCTGTTGCAATAGCGCTGCCCACTTTGGTGTGATGTTTCGCTAGGCTAGGCCTTGCACATCCTGCACATCAGATTGCCTGTCTTACCAGACCATTTGGTTGGCACACCTCGCGCTGCAACCTGTGTTCTTCCTTTTTTTCACTGGGTGTTGGGCCAGAGATGGGAAGAAAGCCCAGCTTCAGCTGGGACTACAGGGCACAGATCTGACAAGCGATACTGACGGGCCGAGAAATGAAGAGTCTCCTGGGGATGCGGTTTCGATGTAGGCCCTTGACATGAGAAATGCGATTAGGCATGCTCAGCTTCTCCTTTTGCACAGCACTTAATGCAGCCGTGTATGTTTGGGTGCATTGGCAATGAGATATTGTTTTGGGCTTTGTATAGGACAATTGTTTAGTCAAACTAGCTTGCCGACCCCATAAATGGGGTTCCTTGGGGACCGAAGCATCAACAAAGACCGCTACTGATTTTTTTATTCTGCCTCTTCCGGTCACCGAGCCACTTTATCCAATATTGCCATTGGTTGCTGTGTGATTCCTTCTGGGTTTTTTCGCTGTACACACCTTCCTGATACCGTTCGACGTTTTAACAACTTCTCTAGCGAAACCACAACGCCGATTGCCCTCACTCTGTATGGCCGGTATTGAGGTTACGCAAAGTCTTCATTTGGGTCCTTGTACTGGTCGCCTCGGTAACCCCGCCGAACAGAGTTTTCTCGTCCGGTCGCCAAATGTATGCAAGGGAAGTTTAGTGCAGTTTGGGCTGCGTTTGAGTGATGCTATTCGATATCGACTCCTACGCTTTCGACGCCTCTCGATTGCAAAGCAATGTTTGGTTAACAAGAAGTCAGGTCAATACACCTGATCAACATATTGCCATT